TGGTAGTGGTAGTGGTAGTGGCGGCATCAGCATCAGCAGTAACAGTCGCAGTAGAGGCTTTGGCAGTAGCAGCGGTAGCACACTCTGCGTAGCGTCAGGTGTTTGGAAAGGCTGATGATTGTGGCATCATCCTCAACATCGTCCCTGGTCACCAGCACCATCACCAGCTCAACAGCCGACTCATGCTTGGTACAGAAGTCATCAAGAAAGAACAACTGGCCCAATATGCACCACCCAAATCACTATGATCACAGTAATGTGAAGCGAGGATTCGTCTGAGACCCATTCGCCCTAAACCCCAAGCCCCTCCAAGGGACACGGTCGGCTTAGACCCGGACTTCTCGGCTCCTTGGTACATCTTCTTCTCAGCAGCTTGGATGAAAAGTCAGGGTTTAGGGCTTAGACTTTGGGGCAGGTACAGAAAGGTCTTGTGATCAGTGCTGGATTCCTCGAAATCTGGATCTTGAAATCCCCAAGGCTGATCCCTAAACCCGAAACCCAAGCATTGAACCGGAAAGGTGTAGGTGATTCTAGAACATACCAGAGCCCGTTTATAAAGGCCTCATAAGAGTCTGCTCTCTGCTTTGCTCTTCCTTGCTTCATTACTTCAAAGGCTGAAGAGCCTTCAGTGCTTGGTCTGCCGATTAAGAGGTTCAGGGTTTAGGGTTTAGGGTTTAGTGTTCAGGGTTCAGGGTTGAGGGTTTAGGGTTCAGGGTTCAGGGTTGAGGGTTTAGGGTTCAGGGTTTAGGGTTTAGGGTTCAGGGTTGAACCAAGACTCGATCAGGCCATTACAAGATTTGTTAAAGAGCTTCGGAAGCGTTTCCGACCCAAGAGACTCAGCGTTTGAGGGTTTACTGTTGAGAGCTTTGGGTGTAACCCAGACTTCACCCTAAACCCTAAACACTACACTCAAAGCACAGAAACCCCAAACCTAGAGAACCCTGGACCCGAATCCTTGACCTCAACCCCAGCAACACAACAGTGGTTTAGGGTTTAGTGTTTCCCGGTTTCTCCTTATTTACAGTCGCTGGATAAGCAGGCTATCTACCCCAAAAGGCTAGGTGAGTTTTTGAGGACCCTAGATTCGGCAAGACGGAAGACCTTCAAGCAAGAAGTAAGGCTAAAGCTGTGCACTAGACCTGATCGTCTAGGCGCGCCTGTACTTCTGCATGTGTTTATGTGCTTGTGTATGTATGCATACATGCAGGGATGTATGTACGTATGTACGTATGTACGTATGTACATATGTATGTATGTATGTATGTATGTATGTATGTATGTATGCATTTATGCGTGTGTGTGTGTGTGTGTATGCATGCATGTATGTATGTGGCCCAAAAGCCCTTGTACATAGGGATTCCTATTATGGCTTCAGGAGTTGTGCATAAGTTTCTGTAATTCTGGGGTCTGGGCTTTGTGGGTACCAACCTGCGTTTCTACTGTTGATTGCTGAATCTTCTTGGAACCCTTGAACCTGAAGTCTTCATCCTAAACCCTATAAACCCTAAACCCTAAACCCTAAACCCTAAACCCCATACCCTAAACCCTAAACCCTAAACCCTATAAACCCTAAACCCTGAATCTGAAGTCTTCATCTAGGACAGCAGAGTAGAGGACCAGTGAGCTTACGACCCTTAGAGGAGCCATACTTGGAGGCCCAGGGGACTTAGTAAGTGGGTTATAAGTAGGGTTTAGGGTTTAGGGTTTAGGGTTTAGGGGGTTATAAGTAGGGTTATAATTGGGGTAACTACAGTTAGGGTACTTATAACTCTACTTATAACCTACTTACTAAGTCCACTGGGCCTCCAAGTAGGGTGTAGGGATTTAGGATTCAGGGAGTAGGACCCGCAAAGAAGTTGCAAGCCCTCATCCCTAAAACCTAAGCCCTAAACTCCAAACACCTACACCTTGAACCAGGTTTAGGTTTTAGGGTATTGGGGGTTTAGGGTTTAGGACATTAGGGTATTGGGGGGTTGAGGGTTTAGGGTATTAGGGGTTTAGGGTTTTTTGGGATTTGGGAGCCGGGACTTTGGAGCCTTCATGCTGCCGCTGCGCCAAGGAGTTCTGGGTGAAGCGACATCGTGGCTACATCCAGGAGGTCAGACAGGCGCCCGGTTTGGGGCCTAGCTTAGGAGGTTTGGGGCTCGAAGATACCGGTTACCGTGGTTCGAACAATTGCAACTTGCCTCCTTCGGCTTGCCTGCCCAGCATGAAGCCCCACAAGAGCCTAGTCCAATATCTCAGGCCCGTCCGTATTTTCGACAGAAGCCTTGATCACGATATCCGATGCCAGGCCGTGCCGGAGTTTCAGCTTATCTTCCGGGACGACCAGGAAGCGGCGGAGATGCACCAGGAGCTGCGTGGACCCTAAACCCTAAACCCTAAACCCTAAACCGCTCCTTCGGACTTCAGGGTTAGGTCAGGGTTCAGGGGTCGAGGGCTTCGAGGTTGAAGGCACTTGCCGAGGATAGGTTGATGCCTTGGGGAGCAGTCGGGGGTGCAGGTGCTTGAGGCATTTATGTATGTATCTATGTATGTATGTACGTATGTATTCA